CCTAAAATTTATATTTAATTTTTTTTTTTTTTAGTTTTTTTAGTAAATTTAAAAGTTCTTTCATAGAAAATTCTGTGAAAGAATGATTTATATATTATCGTCAAAACTAATTTAGAAAATGTACTGTAATGATAATTTTTTATAATTTTTATTAAGTATAAAAAGGGTTGAATTGTTAGCTAATGAATCACGAACGGTTTTATAAAATGTTTTGATCAAAGGTATTAAAAGTTAAAATATGACTGAAAATTTTGAAGACTAAATAAATAAAATTCTTCTCTATATTAAAAATATAAGATTACGTAATATGTATTGTTATAATAATAATATAACTATCCAAATTTGTATAATGAACATTCATACAACATCCAAATTTTTGTATTGATTTAAGGCAAGTGCGTATTTACATTATACATAATTAATTGTATAATATAATTAATTTTTAATAAATATTACTTTTGATGTCTTTTTTCTTAAAATCCATCTTAAAGTATCATTTTTAGTTAAAATTAGTAGTCACATAAATTTTGGTTGTATTACACCCCTATAAACACACTTATGACTTAGGAATTGAGGAATCAATTTATCATAGACTTTTTTTTTTTTATTCACACTTCATGAAAAAAGAATAGAATATCAAAACTTCTTAAACATGAAATAATTTATTGGAAATAGGTTTTGTAAAACATAATAAATAGGCGCTTACAATAAATACCTTTTGAAATCGGTGAAAATATTACTGTAAGTACTTTATTTTAAGTTTATATTCTATAGTTTTTGTTTAGTATGTAAAATATTGACTATTCAAAATTATTTTAATTTACAAATATTAATTTAAGTTATTTATTATATACTTACTTGAAAAAAATTAAGTACGCATTACAACTAACTACAAAATAAGCAATATTATTTTTAGATTGAGAACTACTAATTGTTTTAAAATTAGAATTCTTTGTTTTTCTTTGATAAAAACATATTGGCTTAATTACTTTTGAGGTCATTCAGTTGTATATCTATTGTTGTCAACTTCATCTATTATATTAATGATTATTATAATCTGTATAATTAACATTTTATTAAAACAATAGTGTAACTTTTAAAAATTGCTTTAAAATATTTGTTTCTACTAAATATAATTATTCGTTTTAATTTTTAAAACAATTATTTTTATAAAATTTGATTATTTGTTTTTACAATTTAAAAATCTATAATTTATAGCAAAATTCCTATTAAAGTAGAAAGCGTTATGATTAACAATATAGTTATAACGTTTAAACTTTAAAAAAATGTTAAATAGTAATAATTTGCCCATATAAAAAAATGCTTATGGCAATGATTTACGTTTGGAACACTTTTAACGTTAAATGTCAAAATGTTTAACGAAAAAAATTGAATATCGTTGTAATATTAAAAACATTAAAGATACAAAATTTACAACGATTAAATATTAAACAACTTTATACTTAATTATAAGATAACGTTATAATATATTTAAACGTAATCGGAAAAAAAATTATTCAAATTTTCGTTCCTATGAGGAAATCATAGTCATAATTTTTTCAGAAATATTGTTCTTGATTATATTAGGTATTAGGGGGTATAAGGATATAACTTTTTATAATGTTTTATGTATATCTCCCACCAAGACAACTTTTGAGAAATCTTTTATGTGATTATATTCAATAGTACATGTAAAATTGTTTCAAGACCAGTAGCGTTCAAAAGATTTCGTTCTAATAGGATTTTTGATTTAGTGTGATAATAAACCCGAGAGGAATTTCATTTCTCACTATATAGCTGAACTTTTTTCGGCGTAGTTTAAACCTTAGAACATAATTACTGCGTAGGCCACTCATCGCTTTAGAAATTAGTGACTTATTATAAACTTCTCATATAACTCAGATATTTATTGTTTTTAGTATATTATCTTATATTAGCATTATTATTTAAAGAGAAGATTAGAATATACCATATTTTTGTCCTTTTCTGATTGTTTTTTTTTTTTTGTTAACCATTGTGAATTTTAAAGTTTATTTCAAAATTTGGTATGATAACATGCGTATTATTCGTGTTTGAAAGTATATAATTTATAAAATTAAATCTACAAAGTAATATACTATTTTTGATGCTTACATTTTACCTTAATAAAATTGAAAAAATTACATTACGTTTTCAATAAAACAGTATAAAAGTGAGCCTTTCTTAAGGTTAGAAGGAAATATTGTTGGTAATATGTCTCAAACATTTATTGGACTCCTCATTTAATGCAAGCCTATTTATACGAGTTTTAAGTTAGATTGTAAATTTTTTATTTTAATTTTAAGGCATCTAAAATATAAATATTTAATAGTTATTTATACTTGAGAAATGTTGTCATCGAGATTTAAATTTCAATTTAGACCCTGCAGTCTTATAAATTTATTACATTGTAAAACCTTTTAAGATTTTTCTTCTCTTTGCTGTTAACTCTTAAGCATAATTTTTTATCTGTGTACATATTTCAGTTATATAAGAGCTTTCCTTATTTTAAATAATGAAAATAATTTTGTTTTACTTATTATAGTACCTTAATTTATTAATTCGATTTAAAAAAAGACGTATTGTATGAATGCATATCTGTATAATCGACTAATTTTTTTCTTAAAACCGACAAACATTTTATTAAAACTTCAAATGTAAACTTGTGTATGGTACAGCCATATGACATATCCACACTTAATTACTATTTAGTTTTTTTTATAAGCGATCTCTATAAAATGTTATTAATAGTTATAATGAATGTTAATTAAAATGTTTGAATTAATACAGTATCATGTGATATATCTTATAAATGTTTCAATGATAAATTCTACAATTATCGTGGGAAATAGCAATGTCAATGTCATGGTAAATTTTTAGGTAAATGTCAACAGTGTGTTCAAATAATTATATCTAAATAGCTGTATTGAGTATTAGGGTTTTAACCTTAATTAAAAAAAGATTTAGATATAAGATCATTTCGCTGTATGACAAAATAGCCGAGTTGGACTGTGATATAATTTTTCAATCATCTTATATTTTTACTTACCTTGTGTTTATATAAAAACAATGCTTTCATAATTGAGTATGGTTCAATATACAATATATAGAATAAAAAATTAATATATCTGTTTATAATAGTTTACCTTCGTTATCTAGAATAATTAAAATTTGTATTTATCAAGTCGTATAAACGTTCCTTCTGATAATATTTTTATTTAGTGGTAAATATGATAATGTTAGTGACAATCAGTATTAAACAGACTATGTGATTACATTTTTAATAAACAATGACATTTTTGTTCTTTGAAGCCATAATTTAAATTTTAAGTTATTTCATAAAATAGTGTTGAATATGTAGGACTTATTTTATCACGAGGAATTAGTCGGTGTGAGTTTTTTTATACGTCTTGTTTTGCTTTCCAAGTACACGTGTTCCCAATTAGGGTCTTTTTGGCGCTTATTTGATAGGCTCCATATGGTAAGACCAAAATGCTGACAGTCACAGCTGCAATGTTATGTTTATTGTTCATTTAAAATTTACATCCGCTTCGAAAAAAAATTAAATCAATGGATTATATTTGAAAAAATTTTTTGTTTTTTATTCAAGGTATGTACTAGTTATTCTACTAATTTTCATTTAAAAGGGTACTCTTATTTTACCTAAATTTTTTATTTGCGTCAAAGTAAGTACTTATAAATGCATGAAAGTTATGAACTCCAAAAAGAGTGATCATCTATACAACTGAGACCTTAACTAATAAGTGTAAAATCTTACGTGATTTTTATCACGTTATCATTAGATGGCACTACTTAAAAAATGTTACAAATATTCAATGTGAAGCCGTCTTTTCTTGAATGTCTAAAATAGGTATTGCAATTTGTATAGTATAGACGCACTTCATTATTAGCTTTCGTTAATGAGTCATTTTCTATTTGAAAAGCTATTCTCAACGCAATCTCCTTTTGTGTTCCATTCAGTACTAAAATTTGTTTGTGTCATGCGAACAGGAGCAGCGTAAAGATACGCCAATGCAAAAAGTGTCAGTGTACTTTTCATTATCTTTATGAATATAATCATTGTGACAAATACATCTATTCGTTTCTTGTATATTCCCAGTATTTATGAGGGTTTTGCTTTTATGACCCTTTTTCGTTTTTCCTGTAGTCACTAATTTAAGTAGTTAGTGTTCATACTTGATCCGAGTAAAATACTTATCAAGCGAGGTAACTGATAGCTTCGCTGTAATTACTGATAACATGCAACGAGACGGGATTTAATGATCATAATCAGGGGAATATAAACACGGGTACTATATTAAACAACCGGTAAGGTGGTGCAACATACTTTATTCAACGTGCAAATTTCACGGTAACTAGGTGTCATCATATTATTAACAGAGTGAGTCATTGACATTCTACTTAAAGTCGACCAATTTAGGAAACCCAGTTCCCGACGTAAGAGTTAGAAAATCCTTTTAGTAGGAGAATAATACAGGAGGAGGTACCGCAGGAGTAGGAGAATGTGAACGTTCCGCGTTTAATCACGACTAGGAAAGTCCTCGCGACATTAACTTGTTTTTTAAATTGCACATTTTACAATGAAAGCGTGCTCTCTTGTTCACGTGAATGAGAATAATTTCGCAGAGATCGTTATTCTAAGATAATATTATTTATAAACTCAGCGTATAAGTCCGCCTCCTATACATTTGTTACTGATTGTTCTTTTTTCTATACACACAGCACACTTATGACTGTTTTGCGATTGTTCTCTTATTCCCTCTCATCATTTGACTAACAGTAACTATGAAAAAGAAGGTAGTGGAACGGACGTTGCCTAGTATCACTCCACGGGCAACCGGTTTGCCCATTACCGTGGTTGTCGGTATGCCATGCTCCCTCCTCTGCCACCTCCTACTACTACAACACCGCCATACGGTCGCTTTCGGTTACACACCGCACACCACACTGTTAGTCGCTAGTATATATATAAATCGCATATAGTGTACATAATTTTATCTTTGTAATAGTAATAATAATAATAATAATAATTATTATTATTGTTTTATATTTATATATAAAGAACGTACTCGCACACATACACAAACGCACACATAGAGATATATAATTATTTTGTCGGTACCTATCAGTTTTTGATACGAGCCAGTCATTGTTCATACAACTGTATACACCGTCGTTCAGTACAAAGTTTTTCTTTGGACACTTAAAAGTATTCAGCGTTGTACATGTACTCTCGCATCTCGTGCGTGTCCGGAGTGTATTGATACCGCCGGACTTGTATCTTCGATGGGATATCGCAATCCGTTCGTTTCGATTTTGTCGGTCGATTGCAAATTGCGCTCTAAAACAATACCTCTAAGGTCTTAATTGACCCCTAAAAAGTACTTCGTTTCCTTTTACGCGTTTTCTGTCATCCTAACGGTATTTAAAGCGAAAGTTTTTGTTCTTGCAGACCAGCCAGTAAGCTCTGAAAGTCGATAGTTAATTAAGAAAAGACAAAAATGGCCTGGATCAGTTCGAAAGACAAATCAAAAACCAATGCGGCTGTTGTGCACATGGCGTACCCAATAGTAAGTAGAACTGTTGCATTATTAATTATTTTACTATTATCAATAGATCGAAAATGTGATTAGCGAGATAAGCATGAAATTTATATTGCCGCGAATCACGTTGTATTATCAGTTTTTGTAGTATGTTTGCTCAAGAGTTTTTTCTCATATACACTAATGATTAATTTAAATTAAATTTATACTTGAAACATCTAATTGTCTATTACTAACATTAATAGCATAGGATCACACAACTCATATTGCCAACATGAATCTTCATTGATTCGTTTTCCATTTAGTCTTGCATACATTAGAAATTGATCAATCCAAGTTTCAAGATTTCACTTATTATCATTAGTTAGCCACTAATTTTATAATATTATTTTTATAACGGAAAAACAACAAAGTTGTTCCCAACCTTGTTGACAAGGTTGGAAATACCTCAATATAACATTAGTTTCACATATAATGAAAAATCCTATTGTATTAAACACGGTCAGGGGCGTTTTTAAGATTTGAGTAAGTAATCCCAAATTTTAATATCATCATATGGGTGTTAATGCCTCTGATTTACTTGCGTATGTAATTAAGTAATTAAAAGAATATTGGGGTAATTTCCTATTTGAAACAATTTATTCATCACTGGTGTGCATTAAAATTAATATTTTTGTTTATCTTCCAAAGTTAAATGTATATAATATTGATTCTAATTAGTAAAATCAGGGGGTTTAAAAAAATTATTACTTCTTATAATTAAAATGCATAAAACTCTTGTATTAAATTGGTGAATGTTCCGGGGTAGTAAAATTTGTTTTCAATTAGCTTTCTAACTATTCTGTGTAAGTCATAAAAAATCACGAGCAGGACTATTACAATTGTTTGTCGTAATCATTAAAACAGAGGGAAAAAAATCGCAATGAAATTGTTGAAATTTAATTACAGCCAAGCTAACAAAATTTATTCCCCATAAATCTGTAAAATAATTTAATAATTGATTAGTAATATTTAAGTTTTTTATGCTTTCAGTCAGTATACTCAATTTATACTTTAAAATATAAAAAATAAATGATTGCCCTTAAATAAACCTAACAACTATAAAACTTTTTATTGTTTGCAATGAATTGTAAATAAATCATGTGTCGTGGATTATTAAAATGAGGTTAGGTTCGGTTCTAAAAGATTTTTAAATGAAAGAGTTCTTTCCACATTTTTACCGGTTTATAATGTCTATCATATGAAACTCCTTCTCGTGTTATACCAGTTCAGTTTTGTAAAAGAAATTTAACACCACACTGCACCGTGTAATAATTCATTAGGGTGAAATTCAAGGGATGTAAGACCAAGATTGATCGTGTTGCTTGGGTTCATATGTTTTCATTTGTTGGAGTGCCGTGATCGTATAAATGTGAAAGACCTTATAATCTACAAATTGGTACTTATATATCGTGGACGTTTAAAATGTTTCTAATCAGTAATGTTAATTACCACCGGCCTCAAGATGTTAATGGACAATTTTATTTCAGTTGTATCGTTTATTATGCTCGTCACAGACGCATTCTTCGTGATTGTTCTGTTGGACGTTTATTATTTATTTCGCTAGAATCGAAGATTATTTTTAATTTTAAAATTCTTGAACTAATATTTTAAGATCATAAAATATTAGNGGACGTTTATTATTTATTTCGCTAGAATCGAAGATTATTTTTAATTTTAAAATTCTTGAACTAATATTTTAAGATCATAAAATCTTTATCTTTTATGAATCATAGTGTTGTATCGTACCAATCTGATATGAAACCATCATGTATTCTTTTGTCAATAACTTGACTTACACCGAAAGAGTTGTTGCGTCGCGCTTTTCAGAAGTCAGTTCAGCGATCATTGTGCATAACAACTTAATAGCCAAAACAATCAGCGGTAGAGATTGCTCGTACGCCATGGCACGTGAGGGTAATTAAAATTTCAATCGGATCTATTAAAATTAACATAATTACAGTTTGTTTTTTCCCCGGGGTTGGGAGGGAGCGAAGAGTTGTTTTTTTTAGTTTACAAACTGTCTCTAATCACTAGTGTTTATACCTGATTAATAATAATTGCATTGGATTGCTGTGATGCGTTGGAAAATAAAAACTTTAGGGTCATTCGAGTCCATACCTTTTGTAAGAATCGCATTTAACTATACGTAGTTTAAATAGTGACAATTATTCTGTACATTTTTTATCGCGAATGTTGCGCGATTTTATTTATTTACAAGCGCTAACGTAACAGCATTTACAATATCTTTCTCACGTAAACTAGTGTGGAATTCACCGTATCTCTTTGTATGCTTACAACAAGTTTGTTATCTACATTCTAGTGACTTTCGGGAGTAAGTAAAAATTTCCGTTTAAATGAATTTAAAAAAAAATTAGGCGTCAGCACGAATCCAAAATACCTATTTAATTACACATATATGTTGTTTATATATATTCCTAATTATTAAACGTAGAAGCCTGCAAGTACCGGTTGAAGTAACCACTGTAAATTCATTAAATATCCATTTAGACACATACTTATCGAATTCCCAGAGAGTTCCTTTGCATATTTTTTTCCATTTCTTTGCCAACACCCCGATTAGATAATACTTTGACTTTGCGTATTCGACTAACTGAACAAATCTTGACGATTTCTGCATTTTTGTCCGTCCGACGTGTGTTTGTTATGTAACAAAAACCGATAATGCAATTTACAATTGTGTAACGTCGCCTTGAATTTTATTCATTCCAATTTATTTATTAGCAACAATATGAAAGACCATGATCGTTGCCGATCTTGTGTTGATACATGTAAAATAACATTATCTTCCAAATTTCTTAATAGTCCGAAATTTATTTTTTACTTGTTTTTAAGATAGTATATATTGTGACTCATAATTTCATTGTTTTATAAAATCCTTGGATTAAACCAAAGCATTTTGACATCCAATTTGTTATTAATCGTTGTTTACATGTATGTCATATTTTATTGCATTATTTAACATAAATAGATCTACGTTAGTGTTTGACTTATTTTATATCATTTTTTTAAATATGGAAATAATTATTTTTCTTATTATATTATAGTTTCTATTGAACTGGATTTTCATAAGAGGTATTTTTTCATGACATACATTTGCAAATTACTTAGACTGTATTGTATTGAAATTCAAGAAACGTTACTTTTTTGTACTTTACTAGTTCTTGTTTGAGAGTTGAGCTTGAAATCTGAATGATAAATGAGTTTTGCTGTATATAAATGCATAATCTGAACAGTAACCATAATATGGTGTAATTAATGTAATTTTATTTTTGATTTGTATTTTACTAGTTTACCAAATCTAACAAATTTTTCACAGTGGTTAAAAAAAAATTAGTTCTCAAATTACTTTCATACTCGTTTCAATTTATATTACTCACGACATTCATCAAATGCACGTCTTATATCATTTAAATACATTCATTTTTTTTTAACTTTATCATTATTCTCATTCAATTTCCGTTCCTCATGAGAGTACAATTTGAACAAAAAGAATAAATTAGTTTTATTATAAAAACTAATTATTAATAAAATTATTTTGTTATATTTTAATGGTTATGAAATGTTTTACGAATGTTAGTGGCAGTAATTAAAAATAATAAGTACTTATTTCTCTACACTCAGTTGCATTTGAAGTAGCACTTGAATACATAAAAAATCTTTACTTAAATAACGGTAAAAATATTTTAATAATTTAATGTATTTCTTTCAACTTAATAATAATGTTTAAAAATAAAACTAATGCAATAAAAAAATGCACTAGTTTTTATCTCAAACTTACATTTAATATGATAGCAACCCATATAATACCACAACTTTTCAATCTAAAATAATGTCTGCTAAATATTTTAAAATAAAAAATAAATTTACAATTATTCCATTAGTTTATATTTACTCTATTTCACTTTAATGCACATTCAATCGAGTTTTGTATAAAATTTGTTTGATTTACTTTTATCAAATGTGATAGATTAGGCATTTCAAAGTAGTCATGAAGTTGTTTGTTGCATTAAACCTAAAATCCTTAGTATTATTCTCAGAAACTGGTTTAAACATATTTGTAAAAATACCGAATTGAATGTATTTATTTTTATAAAAGTACTTTAAATTTTACTGAAATATTGTTGTACAATTAATTCTTGATAAATGACAAAATAAAAATCAATCGTTACACAATTATTAAATATAGTAATTTAAAATAAGTAATTATTTCACTAAACCTCAATATAATAAGAGTGTGTTTTTCTTTTTATTTATACTATCTGTTTATTTTTATTATTTTGAAAATGGTCATTGCATTAGAAGCTGACAAGGAGAGGACATGGTTCAATAGAATTAGTTATTGACAATAAATTTAACGAATAATTCAGAAGTTAGGGGAGATCAATAAACCTATAGTACATTCAACAACCGTTATCACTGCGAGAAATTATGGATATTGATAGCGACATTGTTTTGACCTCTACCGTTTAAAATGTGTAAATAAATGCGTACCCCCTTTGTGTCTAATACAGCATGGACAATAATAAAATATCCAATACGATTATGAAAATAGTACATTTGTTACTACTATACAATGTGATTTGTGACTGTTAAAATACTCAATTGACAATCATTAATATGTCTAACATTATTATCACCACCAATACATATTATAAAACAGATACTATTAAATATGAATCGCTTTTTTATTGTTTTTGCACATATTTTATCAGCAAAATGATTGCGTGTGGTTTTCAATAAAAAATTACGTTGTTAATGTTATGCGTGTAACAGTTATACGATCCGTCAAACTAATCATGTTTTATTTGCTCTTTTTTTTTTTTTGTAATTGAACAAATTGATTAAACGATTTTGATACTCATCGATTAATAGGTGAATTTTAATTATAAAAATAAATGTTCTATTTATATAAATTATCCATGTATTAATGGAACTATTTCGTTGATTTTTATAACTTTAAATAAATTTATCAATGCAATGCGTCCACTATTAGGCAACAGTTACTAATGTATTTCGTTAAATAGGAGAACAATTCCACTGATTGGCCTGACTAACATCATATTTTATGTTTTTACAATATAAAATTAGATAACGCCTTTGTAAGAGCCACTAAAATACTTTTCACATATTAATCATTAGAATAGTATAGCACTATCCGTGGCAATATTACCTAAAAATTTGATCATATCACATACAATTTTGAATTCTATCCTTTTGGATGAACTTTTGAACAATTTACTTAAGATGTTTTTTTATATTAACGACATTTTTAAATTTGTTGTCCGCGTCAATGACTATTTGAAATTACAAAAAAGCAATTTTAATGTGGAAACAACAGCTGTAAATTCTACTGTAATAATTGCCTTGAATTTTTAGTATTGAAAAAATATTTGAGCACAATTTGTTTTTGTCATCGTGGAAAACGTGCAACATAACAAACTGCGATCGTCATTGCCACACTTCTGTCAAATTTAATTTTTTTTACTTATTATATTATTTTATTACACACGTTAAATATGTTTGCTATCGGTAATGCAAACAAATGATTCACATATGTACTTTTTCTCATACGTTGTCATTTATACTTTTTCATTAAAAAAAAAAAAATACACATACACACAATAATTTAATTGGGTTATTTGTTATTTAAAACAGACGACTCAATAAAAAATGTTTAAACGAGTTGTTTCAATAATATTTTTTCAGTAATAAAAAAATTTCTTCTAGATAGTTCTAAACCTAACAATTGTTATACAAAAAAGAGGGATATCCCAATTGCATCCCAAAATTACCTTTTTCTGTCTCGAGTGTGCCCTCAAAAATGTATCACCTGAGTATCTCCCGAAATTACATGATGTTTTTTTCTCATAGTTCGAATGTGTTCAGAGAAAAAAATGTTTTTTTGCGTGTAGCATGTATATGCATAATTCATTTAGGGTTACCTAGAGTGGACTTCCAGAAAGAGGCAAAAACCGCAAAACATTCTTTTGAATTATTTGTATATAATTATTGTTTTTTTGTATAGTTAACTATAATATATTACATTAAAATTTGTTTTTTTTTTTTCAAAATAAAAAAACATAAGTTGATTTTTACTACTAGTACTTGTCATACTATCACTCTTTAATCGTGTTGTAACACTTGTTAAATTTTATCTAAGTTACTTCGTTATTATTACCGCGGTCTGTATTATTAAAATTGTTGATAAAAATGCATATGCAATCAATTTAAAAATAAGGTAAAAAGTCGAGAATCTCCCCATAAAACATTTTTATAATAACTACTTAGTAAATGCTTTTGTAATGAATTTGCTTATCTTTTTTTTTTTATAATTTTTTTGTTGTAAACGTTTTTGTTTTGCTTTTTGCATTTATTAAATTTCTATGCCAAAAATTTTATAAAAAAAAATTTAGGTCAGTTTATTTTTGTATGATTATATTGTGTCACAATTTAAAATATGGTTTATGTTTAAAAATTTTCACTAAAATGAAAGAGAAGAACTATTTGTTGCTATTTATAAACAATGCGTCGACCCTATTAAAATGTTCTAATATCTTTTTCAATTCAAATTCTAACCTTTGAGAATCAAAGGTGGAAATGTCTAATTTATGTACATACTTGTCTTTTCTCGGTGTTTCAACAGCTATACGAATATTGTTTTGTTCTTTCATATATTTCTATTAGCTTTTTTTTTTAACGTTACACATTGTCATATTGTACGTGTCTTTCGGTAAAATATCTATAAATTGTTCAGAGAACAATTTTTTTTTGTTTTTTTGATATTATGCTAGGTCACAATGTATTAATTTACAACCATATTATAATTTCTACAGACATTTATTGGTGACTTTTTGATTCTTTGTCAACCAAACATATGAGCTTAACTCGATTCGCGTTCATCAGCCGCAAACATTACAATAAATTACTATTAAAGTTAATATTATTATTATTACTGCAATTATAATTAAAAGCATGCTGATATTGTGTCAGTTAAACATTCCACCTCGAATCTGTTTTTTTACATGTAAAATATAATACGTCGTGTTGTGTCCTATGAACGTCTAAACATTATTTTAGCATACACTCAAGTCAAATTAACGTTCGAAGTAAATAATTCTGCGTAAGGCTATGCTTATTGCAGCCATTATTGTTTTATGGGCTTTTATCAGTCTCCTTTACATTCTCTGAATTTATTTAATCGTTGTATTTCATTCAGTAAATTTGAGTTGTGTATTTGAAATAGCTATTTACTTGCTACGTTGCGTACCATCATTACTCATCAGGACCAACAATGTCACGTTAATCACGTACTTATTGTGTATTCTATAATTAAGTATACATTTTTCGTTGTTTTAACGAATGTGACATTGTATTTTTTTTTTTTTTAATATGAGATGCATTCGATTTGATAGGAAGTTCGTTGAATACGCCGCCTTCGCAGATAATATCCAATGTAACTTGTTCAATAATATTGAATATTAATATTAACATCAAGTACATTGTACTTGATCACTTTGGCTGAATTCCTAAACGCTTATAATAAACTGGGTATTTAAATTCTGTAAAACCAGCCAAAAGTAAAAAATAAATTTATGCTTTTTAAAATGTTCAGCGCATTATTTTGACTCACTAACGTTTTACCAGCCGGCCTCTCATTAATGTTATTTTTTGTCATCACGACGGTTTCCAATTCTAAGTTTATTCTCATAAAAGTAATTGTCGAGTTATTAGATTTATTGTCTTGTACGCTAATCAGACAAGTAATTAAACCTTACCGACTGTGACCCGGCGTGAGTCGAGTTTTAGTTACGTTTTAAATCGATGACATTAATGGCATAAGCCATAATGGTGTTTCATTATAACAGTAACGCGAAAATGACATCGGGGGCACTATTATTATTCTTCGGTAGTTTTCAGCCGAATCTATTGCAAGAAAATGGCTGAACGCGAGTACCGTTCGCTGCAATATAGTAAGCGAATAAGTTATAAAACAATGCATATTTTATCCGCTAAACGTATGTTTACTCAAAAAAGCTGTGCCGATGATTACACGAAACAACCGTGTGCCGCTCTTATTGAGTAAGCTTACTAATCGTCTTATTGTTTCGCAGGATATGCCTATCACCGAAGACCAAGTCACCGAACTGTACGGTGAAGGGGCTCGAATCCACAGCGTACACCACAGGAGCAAGCCGCAACAATCGGTGTTCGCATCTAACATGTCGTCCACCGCCTCGGTGGACACGACAGTAGGCTCCACTGCAGCGCTTATCCACAGTCACGCTGCTAAAGTAAAAAAGAAGAAGTATGCGTTCCTCAGGGGCCAAAGTCACCACCAACCGTCATCCGGTAGTGGCAACGGCGGTTATGTGAACGGACATCATAGTCAAAAAGAACTGAATCTTCTGTTGGCTACACCTAACGTACCCAACTTTATTGACCATATGCGCAAGAAGAAACACGCCATCGACCAAGTGTCGGCTAAACGTTTAAGCAGTGACGACGACGATGATGACGATTATGACGATGACATATTCCAGGATCTCAAGACGGCTGCCAAGATCCGTACTTCTCAGAACACATATGTTCCTCAGGTAATTAATTATTTTATGCTATTATACATAATACTGTAATGTTGCTCTTAGTGGCGTAATCAAATGTGTCGTTTGTGATTAACTTTACATTGAAAATTACCAGCCCAACTAATAAATAGATAGGGACTCTAAAACTATATTCGAGTGCTATCTGTGACTAAAATAAGTGTAGCTTGTTAAGTCATACCAAATTGATATTTTTCGGCAGCAATTTGTACCCAAGCATTATCTTTTAGGTCAAAACGGCCTATAATGAAAAGCAATTCTATCAGTGTTTTATTGTTATGCACTAAATTTTCAAGAGGTTAACTGTTTAATTATTTAACTATTTAACTGTTGACTATAAATGATTATTATTGATCTACTTCGGTCTACTCAAGCGTTCTACATTTTGACGTCTATTATTTAAAATATACAATGCAGATTTCCACAACTAGGTTCAACCCTCTTCCCCAATACTTGAGTTGTTTACCCTCGACCCGCGCTAGAATGTTACACTTTATTGTGATTGCGACCTCGTTATTCTTAAAATCGGTGAATGTTGACTGAATTGACTATCATCAATTATACACGGTGAACGTTTATTGATCATTTGAAATCAATACACCCTTTATGACTGTATCTTTTTCACATCGGTAGCCTCACAGTCAGTGATACCTTTGCTGTCATTACTATCAATAGGTTTTTAATTCTTCGCAATGACCCAACAGTTTAACAGGACTATGTCCCTCAGAGCTTGGCCGTCAATGTACGGCGATTATGAATTTAACGACGACGACGAAAACGAAGATACCAAAGCCAATTGGGAACAGGTAAAACCCAAAACGCAAAAAACGTGTTGGGAATTTTTGCGCAACAACGCGTAAATGTATTTAGTAATGACTATGAGTTTTTTTTAACATTTCCTCACATATCAGCAATCTTGTTGCTAATATTTCAAGGGCAAAGTGATTAAATTAGGTCGAGAAAGGTTGAAAATTAACGACTAAGGGTTTCTACGAATAGTTACATAGCACCAAAGTATTTCATTAAAACAATTACTCTCGTGTATTTAGTACTCATTTAAATCACCTGATCAATGAACCAATAATTAGTATTCCTAGTTGTTATTCGATTAAAATTTAAAAATAGACATTTTTTTGCGTATAATATATTTTTATACGCTGGTTATGGTGTACAAAATGAATCATTTATCATGAACTGCTTAATTATAAAAAAATAAGAGCAGGATTGAGGATTTTTTTTTTAATTTCTATTAAATACATATGTTTTTCAATTTATCAATCATAAAGTATTTTTGTATTCATACCTTACGCCTATAAGGGATGAGCTTACCATATAATTAAGTAAATTTTATTTTTTCTAATGGCAACATACATAATTAACAACCAGTATATTTAAAAAATAACGATCAAATTAAAAATATTACCAGTATTTCGGAACTTATTAACATTTTATAGTGGCGGCAGAAGATGCAACGCGGGTGTTGTACACTTTCTCTGCCTAGTTATAAAAATGTCAATTGATTCTCAATTTTATTTTTATTTTTCGAATCATGATAAATGAATCACTCTGTATTTTTTCATACTCAAGAATTTTTTTATGCTGCGTTTGATATTATTATTTGAATAAAATTTAGACATGTTTACTAGTAGAGTCTTAAGCGTTTTATAACATAGTTAATTTTTTTGTTTTTGTTTTACCACAGTCCGTTTTGATCAACAAACAATGAAAAACATTAGTGTTCTTTGCAAATCGATATCTAGGAGATTTCAATTTATGCAAATTCATTTTTCTCATAAAAAATATAGAAAATACTGTAATGATGTAAATAAAATTACCACAATTTCTACGCGTTGTGTTCTCTAGTGATTTTCTAGGTAATTAGTATCTTAAATAATAAGTAAAATTTGTTCCGGCTTTTTTTTCGATACCGGAAGAATCTAATGTATATTTTTTGGTGTTTTTATATGACATTGGTTTTCATGTTTGGCAGTTAATATATTATATATGCTATTGCCACCTTTTCCTTGAACTCGGTCAAGATAGCAGCCCTGGCATACACAGTAGACGGTGTGTTTGCCTATGCTCGACGCCTGTTTGTGGGCGCTTTTCATGTAAAACAAGTCCGTGAATTAGCCAAGTTCTGTTTAAAAATTTACAATTAAATTATAAAAATTAACATTTTTTATCTGTTTTCCATTAACAGTTTAATAGACTTCGTTGTAGCGTTTTTACATGTAGAGAATGATAATGTAAATTGTAGTCAATAATGTTATTAAAATGCCTAACAGAGCGTGCGGGCGACAAGGTCATTTGCACGGGAAACTCGTGCCAAAGGTCGACGGTGGTGGATAATAATTAATAATATCATTATAGTTATGGTTATTATTGGCCAACCGATGGAAATGTCACAGGGCCACAGTTGCGACGTCGATGTAGGGCCTCGTCAGGCGTGGAGGGCCCATCTCCGTGGCCTTGATCTTACAATTGATCTTTTCGGAAACACAATAAATACATTATGAGGTACGTACTGTACAAGCGGTAGTGCGTTGTCCAAGTCTTTGTCGTGCGTTATAAGAATTTTGAGTATAGTTTGTGTCAATTAATTTTTAAACAATTAATATTGTTATGTTTACCACAATTGTTTGTACTTGAGACCAGTAGTACCTTTTTAATGAAATTGTTTATTTTATTTTTAAATTCAAAAACATCTGAAAGAAAACAACGATTCGATTATTGTGTTTAACATCAATTAGTTTTTATTTAAACTAAATTTTAAATAATTCCATTGCTAGTAAGTGTTTAAAATTCACTGTAAACCATTGAAAACCCATTTTCATACATGTATTTTTTGTAGATTAAAATTTAGCGTACTTTATTTCATTAAAAACAATGTTCATAATTTTTTTATTATTGTAATCAACTTTTCTATTAGTAATAAAATTTGATAAAATGTTTAAAAACACCACGTGTGTGTCGCAAAGGAGAGTCACATTCGGCCAAGGATTGTTTTTCAACAGGCTAATGAAAAAATTAATTGCATTAAGTCGCAACACTAATTATAATTGATGTTTTTTTTAAGTATTTTTTTGTAAGTATCGCGATAAATAAAATGATTAGGAACGACGTGGCAATAATATTATCGCGTGTTCTTTGCTTCTAGAAGTTTCCCGGAGTTGGGTTTGGTTTGGCTTTGAAAACAATAAAATTCTTTTCAAACACGCCGAATAGGCGTTAATTATTTCGTGGGGTTTATATGATGTAAAAGTTAACAACCGATTGGTTTGTTTCAATAACAATAAAGCCGTAAAGTAACTGTGATAAAGCTCATTTATGTTCATTCTACGCCCATGTATTTTTTGTACATAACATACATTAGGAGTTATATTTCACGTCAACACGTTTTAATCAGATAAAAAAAAAACAGAAATCGTTTAATTTATGTCTGCGTATACTCTTAAAAAAAGTGATCGAGTTGTGAGATGCTGTTATTCGGATGAGATCAGTTAAAATGTCAAATTTGTTTTTAACTCAGCGGTTGGCCAATGTGAAATTGATTTAACCCGAAAGTTATTAAACGATACATCTCTCCCCGGGGAACAATACCTATGGGGTTAAATTATTATTATCAAAATATATTTAGGTCATAAAAGCTCATTAAGAATTTTGTTTTAATCAATAGGAAAATAAATTGTGGTAGCCAATTATTGTTTATTTTTCTTAAATTCTTTTGCTTAAATATTCTTGTTTAATATTAAAACTTTTGGCTGTATTAAATAAGTTAATAAGTATATTGTATACATGTTACTTTAATAATGGTTCTACTTAAACTGAATCATTAAATAATGATACTTAACCTTTAAACAGTTTTAATTTGAATTTTTAAATACGCTTGTTTTATTTATTATCCATTCATTTGGGTCATTAGATTATTATATTTTATCACAATCAAAATTCAAATCTATTTAGATTTAAGACTAAATGATTATCTAGTCTACTCGTATGTTTCTACCACGTGTGTGCAATTTGATTTCAATTTGTTATGTCGAATATTTGTATAGATCTGTGTTATCGATGACCACTAATGAATTTATAATAAATAATATAAAAATAAATTAAATCAATTCTTAACACAAATTCATTTCTTGTTTGTTTTTACTAGATTTTAGTAATTTTTTTTGTATAATTGTTTCGGCAATTGGTCAATTTGTTTGGTTGACAATTATGATTATTATATTTTTAGCGTTTATCTCAGTCACAACGTTTATTAAATTAAATAATTTTGTGTATTACGATTAAATTAATAAACGATGAGCTGTAGTTATACAATAAGTGATTCTTATTATTTAGTTATTTCCTACTAACTGGGTTAAATTAAATTACAAAATTACTTAATCGTTACAAAACAAAGTCCTTAAATTATCAATTGAGAAAACTGTTGATTGTTTTTTTTCCAATTGTCAAGGAAACAGTTTTATTTTTTCACCTTTACTACTAGTCTTTTAAGGTGTATGTCAATTGTATAATAATTTATATATTTTTATTATACATCGAGTCTATATAAATAATAATCATTTTCCTGTGCGATTGCGGAGACCCAATCGAACTTTTTAAGAACCGTAATAATCACATTGTATTAAAAATATATATCTGTTTTTTCCCTATCGTTTAGTAATCAGTGGTAAAAAAAATGTATAAAAATTTTTATGTATTTACTACTTTGGAGAACAACTCGAGACGAATGGTTTTTCTTGTAAAAATACTATTGTTGTATTCATTGAGCATTCTGTTATTCTGTTTTTTTTTTTATATTACTTTAAGGTGGGCGAAGTATAAATGTTATCTTATTATTTTTCATGGTAACGTTTTTACTCACTCGGCGCCTTTGTCTACACACAGTAGGCAAACAAAACTACACTAGCGTTTATGTAGTTTGCGCCGGATATTAAACGCCCTTGGGACATTTACACGGCCAACGCAATAATATTATCTTTCTA